GCTATGTGTTTACATCCATTGCCGCCATGTTTGTAATGACTTATCGCGAGAACAAACGTATTCACGCGTGACTTTAATAGCATTTCTTACTTAATGGAAACACMGCAGTTGCGAAACTGTGTTTTTTCGACATTAACAGAATATCAACAAAGTTTTGCGCACATTTGCAATGGAAACGCAGCTAATTTCATCCAATCAGTCGTAAACAGTCGCAGCTCATTCGTTGTCGCTTTAACTCTTGCTTGGTGTTGAACCAGCCTGGGGTCTTCCCCACGCCACCCCCACGCCTCCTCATTTCCTTTTCAATGTCTTATCCCCCAGATTGAAATGATCAGATGTATTATACGGACGTTAATTCACCGTGGAAATGGCTCGGGCTGTTCAGCGGCGCAGATGTGCTCCAGTCTTCTCATCGCCGGCCGAGTCCAAAAGCCTCCGACGCCTCTCTTCTTCTCCTCCTCCTGCTCCTCCTTCTTTTCGCTCCTCCAAGGCTTTGGCAGCGGCTCAGATGCTTGGAGAGGAGTTTAGGGGTGGAGCAGAGGGAGGAGGACGAGGGGGTGTAATTGAAGGCTGGAACCATGCTATCCCTCAAGGTGCCCRTCTCTGTCCCTCTCCGCAGTTCAATCCAGGAGATCCATTAGGAAGACAAGGTCCCTGAACATGTATTTATGTTTGAGAGAAGGTTTCCCCACACAGTCCAGAGCAGTGGGGTCTCCTACACCTTGTTTTGCCACTGCTGTAGCCGGCATCACACAGTCAGAGTCAGGCTTGGCACGTGTCGTCGCCAAGCCATTAGGCCTTCTTGCCCCATCACTGGCGKTAACTGCTGTCTTTGTCTGTGATATGCAAATGCCTGCTTTATTCTTCCTTCTTTTTCTTTTTTCTTTTTTTCTGGGTGGAGGTTAGCCCAGGGTGTAGGCAAAGGCGTTTGCTTACTTTGACTGTGAAATGAGCCTCCTTATGTAAAAACGTCGACTGTACTGCTGGCGAGCGTTTTATTTACCGTGACACTCTCACACCTGATACGGACCATGCTAATTGCAAGCAAATGGGTTTGCTTTGGTGCTCTGTCTTCAAACACCCCCCCCCCCCCCACCCACACACACACACACACACACACACCCCTACTAACACCCCATGTTCATGGCCAAAAGAAAATTTGGTTACCCTTCATCCGAATGCCTATCTTTTGCCAAAGCTTACTCACGCTCATTAGCAAGCACACAAACATTTGTGATATATGTTTGCTTGATAGCAGATGTATTTACATGCAAAAGAACGGTTAATGTCCTTAACGAGAAAGTATTTCCAGATCCAAGAAGGTCTCTCCCCCAACCATTTGAAGAAGGCCAAGCTCATGTTTTTCTACACCCGCTACCCAAGCTCTAACATGCTGAAGATGTTTTTCTCTGATGTTAAGGTGAGTCATGAAAACCATACCCGTTTTCTTTCCCTTTTTTTGTGACCGCTTTAGTGTTTTCAAACTCATCTCTATGACATTTTAAAATTATACCTGTTTTGCTTAACACATTTATTGACAAACACACTGTTGTTCTGTCTTTTGCTCAGTTTCTTCCTAATATTTAGTACCTGTAAAAACAGGGAAGTTTGGTGTAAAAATTGAGATGTACCAGCTTCTGTTGAGGCAAACAATGTGCACTTGTCTGTCTTAAAACGAGGTCCTTTTTCCTAGCTAAATTATGGTTTTATGCAAAACAYGCGAGATGAGGAAGTTGAATGGGAACTGGAGAGCCTGTGAGTACCCTAAAGATAAAGAGAAGGATGAGTAATGAGAGCAGAGAGGAGGACGGAGGCTGGAGGGATGGAGGAGTGGCTCAGAGAGCAGGTGGATGGTTTGATGGAAGGAGGGGCGAAAAGGGAAGGCGYTGGTTTGGGGAACATGGCAGGAACGAGCGTTGGCTTCGTGGGGAGTTTAACGAAGAAAAATGTGGACAATGTGTAGGCTGCACAGAAAAACAGGAACATCTACACAAAACAGCRTGGTGTTGGTTTTATGTGTGTGTTTGCGCCTCTCTTGGATCAGACAAGGGGTAAATATTGCGACAGATCCAGGCCATCTTATTCAAATCAGAAGATAAAGGTTCGCTTTTCTACCAGCTGCCCTCTTATGTGCCAACAACCATGCCTCCCAGTTCACATCACAGAGAGGAGAGTATCAGATATGATAAAAATTTGACATATTAATTTTTTTTTTGAAAAGATGTAAAAATTAAATTGGAGATTTACTTCACTGCTCGTTCCCATGGAAGTGACCTCGTCAGCCTCATCAGAAACCTAAATAAGGTCAAGATATTTAGGGGATTATGGGTCRCAGTAGTTTGTTTTCATTCTCAGTAAATAACAATGAGCTCTGGCTTTAAATCAGTGTATGGGAATGGGACTATCTAATTAGATTCAGCCAGCTCAGCCTCTTAGCGAGGGCTTGTCTTCAAACAAAAGTCTTTAAGGTTAATCGGGTCTTGACTAATCAGGTCTGAACCATCGAGAACCTAATGAACATATGAAGTGGGTTGGCCTTACAACGGGGAGACGCCGGAGCTGTTGTTCCCTTTTTACTAAGCTTTTTTTAAGATGATTGTGACTTTTTTTTGTTCCTTTTTGAAATGTTTTGACAGATTTGTCTTAATGCCATTGTTGGTGTTGATAATGAGGGCCCATATTACCCTGCTAGCTTTAAAACRTCTCATTATTATTAGTGTTTTGAAGCAAGGGGTCAGGAGATCAGTGAGATTAGTTTGATCAGTTTGCTTAAGCATTTTTTTTTTACTTTTGAGAACTATAAATTAACTTTGTCATGTAAAAGGGACATATGGAAAATTCACTTATTTAGCCATTAAGTGCATTTTGTTGTCTTCATTCTCTGGCTCTGGGTCAGACTCTGGCTCCAACATAAGGATGAATGGACTTCTGTTGTTGACATCTTTTAATTAATTCATAAATAAAAAGTTTCTACGCAGTAATATAGTCGTAAACTCCTCTATCAAACTAGAATGGACCACGCTGGATGGGGGGGCGGGGTGTGAGCCTCTTTCGGATTTAAAGAGACAGCCTCAAAAAGTGTTGATCGGAGACACACCTCAAAACAGGGGTGAAAGAGGGGTTTGTGGAGTTACATTAAGGAGGATTTCGGATCAAAGCATTGCCGTTCCACTTTATGTAGACCCCAACTGAATGATTGAAATGTGAAAAAGAAGGATTTAAAAGCAGGACATGCCATCTTTAAAACAATCTTTATTTTTTTTAATCAATCTTTTAGCAAAAAAACGTAGCATCTGGGCCGATCGTGCTCTGTAACAGCTGAGGTCAGGAGGGTTTTCCTGTTTCTATATGACATTCCTTCTCCTTTCTTTTYATTTTCGCTGATGGTGTGGCATGGTATGTGTGCCTCGTCAGGGCCGGCGGAGAAAGAAAAGCCGGCCGCTGGATTTCGACAGCAACAAAAGCCCGTTTTCCAGGGCCGCTTTTTTGTGTGTGTGTGTGCGCGCAATCAGCCAATAGACACCCAGAGATTATCTCCCACAATTCACTCCTGCGACAACAGGAAACGTCGGAAAGCCCTGATGACTGTGGAGAGGCTTACGACAGAGAGAGAGAGAGAGAGGGTAGGAGAAAGCGACAGAGAGGGAGGCCTCTGCAAGCTTCTGTGTCTTTCTGCTCCTCTCTCTGGTTGTTCTGGATGCTGCCGAGCGCTCTGAGGTCATCTGTGTGCTTTCCGCTCGGCAGCCGATCACCACGTTACAGAAAGGGTTGTGTGGCTTTTAATCTGAAGGCCCATCAGCAAAACATCCTGGCCAGCTTAACAGATAAAAAATCCAAAATAATGCGTGTAGAGCTACTGAATCCTTCCTGCAGGCGACTAATATAGTTTAAACAAAGGACACTTAAGTGTTTTCCTATTCTAGACCTCAGTGTGTGTTTGTGCATCGAAAGAACACGGGTGCGATTGTGTGTGTGTGTGTGCATGCCACTTTTTATCTGGTGCTGTTAGCACTAAGMGCTGACCTTTCACAGGCTCTTGAGTGTGAGTGTGAGAAACACGCTTCCACTGTCTCTCTCTCTGCTCGGCCTCTTAGCCACGCACACACTTCTACACACACGGACGCTGTCAGGTCCAACACACACATATTCTCCTCACTCCTTCTCATGTCTGTGCTGGCTGACCCCTGCCAGCTCTGATTAAGGAGCTGCAGTGATGTGCTCCTTTGAACCGATTCCCTCCTTGTGCTCGGAAACACGCCCGTCCTTAGCTGCTATCAGGGGGTCTCTGTGCCCCACCAGCAACTTAATGAACCAAGACTGCTGGAAGCTGAAGAGAGGGGGTGGAACTTGCCAAATTTTAATCCCTGAGTGTTAGAAGGGGAGTTAATGTGGATGTAATTGAATTATTTGCCAGCGACGTACAGTACTTCTGCACGTGTGTGGCTGATTGTTGTGATTGAGCCGCGGCGCCGCTTCACGGGTCCTAATACATCTTCACCCAAGCTGTCAGCATAATAAAGTAATCTTTGTCCTAAGTGACAAATGTATTTTGTCACTCCGGTGCAATGACACCAAAGGTCTCTCTCATGAGTGATGGCGATGTTCGCTGGCTTGAATCTCACGACGTATTGCTCCGGCTCGCACGATGCAATGTAAGCACACACGCAGGGTCTAGTGCTGCTATCTTTTAGAGGACTTTACCAACTTCCATTACTGTCTACCTAAACCTAACTTAAACTCAATTCACACCGTAGTCCTAACCCTAACCCACCAGTGGCATTTCCCCCATAGGGACTAGGCTAAGCAGCAGTCGGCCAAAACTTGTCCCCACATAGGGAATACCTGCCCTCCATCACGGATAAACACCCGTTCACTCCCGTCTCACATTCACACCCAGTAGGACCTGATTTCACACGAGTGGAGCGAGCGTGTTTGTGCTCTGCCGCACTCCCGACTGTCTGCCTCATTGTGTGCGTTTAAGAATACGCTCCGACGTATTTGTAAGTGTCAGTGATTTGTTTGTTTGACACTCGGATGTCATGACCCCCGGCTTGCTGACTGCTCGCGTTCCGACCCCCCTCCAATCC